CCCATCGCGACCCCATGGACAACATTCCTCCATGCCTTCCTGTCCTCCACCAGCATCTTACCCTCTCATAAAGCACCTCCTCTCCCCTGCCCCCGAGGTTGCTTTTCCAACTGCAGAGAATAACTGGCACAGTTCTTCCTGGGTCAGCTGCAACTGGGTGGAGATGGGGAACCAGAGCTCAGGGCTGGGAACCAGACCTTACAGCTGGGGTCATACTGTGGCTCCCAGACACTGTCTAAAGTGCACAGGATCATTCCCTTCAGGGCACAAGCCTGGTATGACGATTGTAAGCTGCTGAGAACAAGAGACTGACACACATCCTGTGTAGGGTAGGAGTAGCAAAGTAGTCTTCTCCCCATCCTCGCACCCCACATTTCCTTCACATGAGTTTTATGCCTATGTAGTTGAATGTGTTTCAGAAGTAGAGAGCAGGAAGCTGGAGAAGCACCAGGATAGCACATATTCTGGCCTCTGCAGTCCTCTTCCTTCCTCACCCACTTTAATTCCCCCTTTCTAGCTCTTTGAAGTTACACAGTTCTTTCCAGAGTAGCTGCAAAGGGGAGAGCAAAGATGGACTGCAAATTCCCCCACCCAAAATCAGAGCACTGCCTCTGGCCATGGCCCTGGGAATCCAAAGAATCCTACGGCCCTTTCCAACAACTGTAGGATTGTTCCCTAAATTGATTTTTAAAATGTTGACTGAATGTTTTGTATTTATAAAACAAAACACTTCTTTCTTGGTTTACAAATAACACAGTCACAATTAAATTAAATTACATTAAATCTATCATAAGCATACTCAGGCTATGTTTACAGTCTCATAAAAATGATGTTACCTGCCAATCCAACACAGATATTTTGTTTTACTTTTTCATCTCATAAAAATGGCTCTGGGTAGTCTAACAGCTCTTGCTTCTTTCAAGTCCTGGCTTTTCAGTTTCTCTGACTAAAGACACATGTGCAGAGACACAGGCTAGGTAGGATTGCTAGTCTGTTCCTATATGATGGCGGATTGTGTTATCCAAACAAGGGTGAGCCCCAGTGGACAAGGAGCATTGGACCGGCAAAAGCCTCTTGCCACTCTTGGCAAGCTGCTTCCAAGTGAGCACCGCTGACGTAGCCTCCAGAGTGTCCCAGCATCCTCTGAGAGACAACCAGAGTGGTTCCTTCTGCGCCAGCTGTGATGAGAGCAGGACGAGGGAATGGACAAGGGATGGGAGCAAGACGAGGGAGTCACAGCTAGGGCTCCAAATAATCCCATGCTCCCCTTTCCCAATATTCTTGGGAAGCCTAAATGCAGCCTGTAAGACCAAGACTGATCTATTTCTATTTTGATTTATTTTAAACCAGGGTTCCTTTTTTAAGCAAAACTTTGAAAATAAAAACATGGGGGCATGGAGAAAGCAGAGATGCTGACTCATGCTGTTAGGTGAACAAAAAAATCAATGGGGTAGGGAGGGAGAAAGTTTAAAAAATAAACCTATTTCTTTAGAAGCATTGTGGGTGAGGGGAATCAAATAGTAATCCATTAGCTATTCAAAGGAGTCTTACAGCTGTAATGACATATATTTGCTAACAGTACCACTGAATTTCTTGATCTAGCCTGCAGGAGTCATGATTTCAACCAAGGTAAGTGAAAGTAAAAACTACTATAGATGTATTATTGCAGCAATACCCCAAAAGCTACTGAATTCACATCCCTAACAATTCCCTATAATGAATGTCTTCAACCCCCTCTTAAAAATATACAGTGAAAACGTCAACATGACTTTCCTGTTAACTTATAATGCCTACAAACAACCACAGACAAATTAAAATTATGTTTTCACATTTTCTGATGCCTTCCTTTTGATAAATTCTCTTCCATCCCTACAAGTCTTATCTTCAAAGCTCTAGTTCATTTCCCATTGATAATTATGTTCTTGCACTCTATTTTTCACAGCATTTATATTTTTAAAACCTAGAAACTTTATGAGATGACATGGTCACAAGAACACTGCTCAAGAATTAATTGCTGTGCCTATGAAATCATACACTTCCTATTTATTTATTTAGGAGACTTCTATGCCGCCCCATTCACTGAAGCCTCGGGGCGGCTCACAACCATAAATAAACTTCAATAGAATAATATAAATTAACAGTATAAATTAAGTCACCCTGGCCAAAGAATAAAATGAATAAATAATATTAACAATTAAAATAACATTTGAATAAAAAGGTCTTCGCCTGGCACCAAAAAACAAATAATTTATATTTATATCCCACCTATTTCCTTTCAAGGAACTCAAGGTGGCTTACATATTTCTCCTCTTCTCAAACTTATCCTCACAACAACAACAGCCCTGTGAGGTAGGCTGGGCTGAGAGTCTGTGACTGGCCCAAAGCCATCCAGTGAGCTCCATGGCTGAGTGGGGACTAGAACCTGGAGCTCCCAGATCCCCAGTCCTGCATTCTTAACTAGTACAGTCAGCCCTCCACATTCGTGCAGGACCCCTGTGAAAATGGAAAACCTGCAAATATCTCCACCCTCCCCACCAAACTTTAACTCCTACTACTGTTGACCAAACATGTGCTGTTGCCTCTCTGCCTCCCCCCACCCCCGCAGACCTCAGGTCTGATCCAGCAGGGCTCCCCTTCCTCATTTATTACATTCTTATGCTCCTATTCTCCACCCTCCCTTTCACCCATCAGCACCTCCTCTTTGCACCAAGGAAATGCCAGAGAGATTTCCCTCTCTGGATGGGCAGGGCAAGAAGACATGCTTTGGGGCCCTCAAAACTCCAAAAAAATCCCATTTAATTATTATTGTCAAACTCATGAATAATCAAATATGCGAAAGTTAAACCCACAAAGACTGAGGCTTGACTGTATACTTTGCAATAATTGTTTTTAATTAAGGTAGTTATAAAAAAATTGCAGGTGGTAAGCACTACTTAGGAGGTACTCCCCTTTTCCCTCATGTAGGAAGAACAGCCTCTTCTATGATTCTGCATCTATTATCTAGAAATGTTTCAGAATAGTTTCATCCATGCACAAATTTAATCAACAGATTAACTGACAAAATTGGTGTGATGAATCATATGATTAAGATTTCTTTAACTTGAACACAAAATGTAATGAAAATAATAATAATTATTATTATTATTATCGTTTGTATTCAGGGTGTCTGTTTGCATATATTACATAAACACTCTATAAATATCTCTCACATGCTCATCCTTAAAAGTTACCACTTCATACAGTCAATGAATGATTTGGTCTGCAAAAGTTAACGCTGTTCTAGATTTACTTGTCTACAATCTGCCTCAAGTTTCTCTGTTGTTCTTGCTTAATGAGGTAATACAGTTACTCCACTGGTATTAGTAGTAATCAGTAAAATAAGAGCAGGCATAATGCATTTGAAAGACACATTTTGTATAGCTAGAATTTTATACCTATCCCAGTCTAATACAATAGCAGTAAACACTAGGAACTGAACTGTAACTTCTTTTGCTTTAATAAAAAATAAGTTCATATGTTTTCCCAATTCTAATCACTATAAAATAATAATTTTGTAGTGCAATCCTATGTGTGTTTATTTAGATGTCAATCCTACTATGTTCACTGGTCCTTATCCTTAGGAAACTGAGCATAAGATTGCAGCCACATGCACTGTGTACAAAGTTATTCTTAAAAATAAGTCTTTTGATTTAAGAGAGATTGTCGAAGCCAAGGCTATTGACCTGGTATGCATAATCACAGTAGTTTAGCCACAGCTTGTGCCAACATGTGCCAGGCACCCTTTGTCCAATTACCAACCCAAGGTCAATTTCTTGTATTGTCTGAACTTGGCCAGCATGGCTTGTTTGAGGGGAAAGCAGCCTTCAAATAATCCAAAAACAGTCTTTGTTGGCAATTGTGCAAAACAGGTCAATGGCAGCCTCATCCAAAGACAACACACATCAGTTCTGCTCCCAAGAGTCATTTAACATGCTAGAAAGATTACACTGCACGCACTGATTCAATCTCCCCTGCCCCACAAAAATGTAACATAATGCTCCAAACCTATCAACTCAAATTCAGATGAAACTGTGCCATTTCAGTCATAGAGCAATATATTTTCCACATTATATTTTTCCTACATAAGTACACCTGGCCATATTGTTTAAAAAACTTATTTGCATGTGCATATGGTAACATACAATTCACAGATATTTTATCATATGCGCTTAAAATAAGATGCCACAACTAGCAGCCAGTGCCTGAAGTGTGTACCTGCAGCAGAAGATGAGCAAAACTCACACACAACTGTGTGCACATTTTCTTACCATCATCTTATACTTAAAAAAATAATTATGAAGCAGCCCTAATCAGCCTTGCAAATCCAGCACATAAACCTAGATTTATGTGCTAGTTGTTTTTAAGACTATACTCAGAATTTGCTTAAATTAGAGATGTCAGAGCAAGTTCTCTCTCCCTCATTTCATATATTCTTGTATATTTGCAAGAATCACAGATGTTTTACAATATCCCAGTTTAGCTAATAATCAAAAGTTAAGCACAAGAAACAGCCTTTTGCAAGTGAACCACGTTTTCAAAAAGTTTATAATGTAATCAGAATTAAAATGCTAGCAAGGTGGCAGTCAACCACCACCAGCAGGAAAATTTGACAGTTCCTATGTGGGATTTCTTTTCATGCAACTTCTGTAATAAAGATAGGTTTTTCACTACGCCAGCTTTTAAAACTAGCCAAGCATATTGGCTACTATGTATTTTTCCTTTTAAACCTTCATACAATTTGTCTGAGCTACAGCTGTGCAGTAGTATAAAAATGAAATAAATTATTATTGTAATAAAATTTACCATTCCAATTTGCTTTGCAACCTGAAATAAACACATGGAAACCCAACAACCTGTTAGCTCCACCCACCTCCCACTCATACTTTTCTGTAACGTTAACAGACCAGAAGAATACTATATTAAACTTATTTCTCCATAAATAAATTTGCAGAAAACTTAACTGGTACCCCAGGAGTGCTTACAGATGGTAATCCTGTTGATGATGGTTTTGTAGTGATTGATGTTTCAAGCCTTTCTATCAAGTTTCCTAATGTGATGGGACTTTGATCAGGATCGTCTTTTTCAGAGGCCTTTGTGAAGCTGTGTTTTTCTTTTTTCAGATCTGCATCTCCAGGCAAATAGGACATGGGGTGGAGGTCTACTTTGTCAGTTCTACGTCCTACAGCAGACTCTTTGTAAGTGTTACTTTGTATTTGCTCTGGAGAAATGGGAGTTGATAACAGGGCCGAAATTGTCTCATTGTGCCTAATTTCTATAGAGCCTCCTAAATGGATCTCTTGAACCAGTTCTGTCCCATCTTCAGACTGTGGCTCCTTGCTGTAGCTGGCTGTAGCTCTGCTTTCCATCATCAACTTAATGTCTTTCTCTTGATTTTCTTCTGCTGCTAGGAACGAAGTTTCAGAATCCTCCTCCTCCAGGCAAGGCTCAAGACTTTCAAAATCCAGAAGTTTTGGAGAGTCCAGCTGCATGAATTCTTCTGGGTCAGCTAGCATCGGAGAGCTGCAGAGTTCCGGGCTGGAGTCGCTCCTTTCCAGTTCCTGCAAACAATCAGAGCCATTTTTTGAGCCATTCAAATATTCTCCATCGATCATGGAGGCCAAATCCTGCAGCCTGCGCAGAGGGATGTAGCATGAGGAAGGGTTCTGGCCAAAGGCAGCCTTAGATGCTGCTGAGGGTAACTGCAGGGTGCCCCTATTAGGTGGCTCGGGGCTATGGCTCTGACCCTCCCCCCCATAAGGGCTGCCCCCGTTCTCCTCCGGTGCATCTAGCGCCAAAGGGCTGGCGAAAGGGGGAAGGCAACCCCTCCTGCTCACTTCGCAGGCCTGATCCATCCTGTGCGGCGGGCATCAACCTGTGAAGCAAACACAGCAACAATGGGGTCAGGCAATCCCTCCAGGGCCTTGTTCTCCAAAATGGCAGCCACTTCTACTACTGCTGCTGCTGCTGCTGCTCCTCCTCCTCCTCGGCGGCGGCGGCGGCGGCCCGACAGACGCCTCCTGCTCCTGGTCCGGAGGCTGTTGCGAGCCTGCAACGAGCCGGGCGCAGGTCTCTTACCCCAGCCTACCACCACCAGGCAACGTTGCCTCTTGATCGCTACAACCTAACGTTGGCTTCACAATAGCGCAGCATCCATCCTGCTGTTGCTTGCCGGGAGCGCAGCAGAGCAGGCCTGGCCTGGCTGCGCTCCCCCCCCCCCTCGCGCGCTACCTCCTCCCCCCGCTCCGAAAGCTGCAGCTGCTGAACAGTGAAGGGTTCAGCAAAGGCTTCTGGACCTTTCATCTCGCCCGCTTTTGCCACCGCCCGGCTTCTGCACTAGGCCCGATACCGGCTGGCTAGGGTCCCCACCCCCATTTCTGGAGGCCCTCCGGGGTGGGTTGCAGCGTCCTTGCACGGTTCGGCTGGAATCTGGCCGCAGAGATTAGTTTCAGCCTTTTTTGAGAACGGGAAAGTCGCTCCTGCAATTTACCTGCCCCTCCCTGCCCGACTTTGCCCCCCAGTGCAGGGCCAGAAGGAAGAGGCGCCTGGGCTTCTCCGGGCCCTACCAGCTCCGTCTCCAGCACAGCAGCCAGCCAGCCAGCCTCTTTCGCTTGCTCGCTCCTTTCCTCGGCCGCGCGCCCCTCGCGCGCGTCCCCGCCGCTGTCCCCGTGCGCGCTCGCGCGCGCCCCCTCACTGACTCTTGGGGTTCAGCAGCGGCGAACGCTGCGCTGTCCAATCAGCGCGCGCGCCTGCTCGTCCCTGCGCACGGTCTCCCCTTTGGGCACCACACGGCCCCTGCAGGAGTCGCTGCCCCCTAGCGCTCGCCTGGGCAGCCTCTGCCTGCCCCACCTATGGCTCCTTGCACGGGCCACCTCCTCAGCTTGCTCCCCAAGGCCGGTGTCGGCTTGCAGTTCTGCCCGGCCTGGTCTCGGCCTCCCTCCCTCCCTCCCTTCCCACGGCACATGGCGCCGCTACTCTCTTCTCTGCCCGCACTGGACAAGCCCTGCCTTCCTCGCTGCCAGCGCCCGGCACCATCCTTCTCTGCAGCCCAAACATGTTGCTTCGTACCAAATCACCCGGCAGGGCGCCGCCTGCGCGACCAGGCCTTGCTAGCTCCCCCGCCAAGCGCTGCGGCAGAGAGCAGGAGCGAGCAAAGATGGTGGCTGTTGAGCTCGCCCACCCACCCGCTGGGCAGCCGCCGCCGCCGCCGCCGCCGCCGCTCTCCTTGCCAGCCCGGAGAAGGGGAGGGGGAGCCCCTCAGGCGCCCCGTGACCACCAGCCAACCGGGCTTGGTGCTGCCCCAAGGCTCCTGTGCGCATAGTGCCGCTGGCTCTGAGCTTCTCCTCACCACGTACGTGGTGGTGTCCAAGGAGCCTAGGCGGTCTCGCAAACCTGTCCCACCTCGGGCGGGGGAGTAGGACGCTGGGAGGCTTTCTCTGTCACAGAAGTTGAGGGCAGGAAGCAACCAGGCCCCATATTCCCGCCCAAACAATGGGGGAGACGAAGCAGGTCAGCCTGTCCCCTTATCTCCAGCCAACAATGGTGGGGGGGACTGAACGAAGGAAGGCTCCGTCCGCGTCCTCTCCCCCCGCCCCACCCCACCCCTCCACCGATTAAGGGGAGGGGAGGCGAAGTCTCCTGAAATAAATGGCTTGGCTGCGTGAGATCCGGGCGCTCTGTGGCCCCACCGCCTCCTGGAGGGGGCCAAATTCTGCCCGTGGGAAGGATGATGGCAGGGCCAAACGCTGCCCCGAGCACAGTGGGGGGAACGGTTCCGCAGAGCTTTCGGCCAAACCAGGCCGCTCCCCAGCTTCTCAAGAGGGGGAAGGGGAGATCCACTCCCCTCAGCCAATGGCTTGCTCGGCAACAGGGAGCTTCTGGTAAACTCTCATTCCCTATAATTTGGGTGAAGCCTCGCTGGTGTAGCGCACTCTCTCCTTCACCACGGGCACGGGAAGGCCAGCCCTTCTCGCGCCTCCCTTCCCCGCGGCGGGTCTCGGGACCGGCCGGAACGCTGCTGCGTCCCCCGTTTCTCCCCAGAGCAGCGCTGCCCTGGGCGGCTGCTGCGGCCGTCGTTGTGTGTGTGTGTGTGTGTGTGAGTGCGCGCGCGCGTGTGCATGGCAGGGCAGCCGGGAAGCGAGCGGGGACCAGCAAGCGCTCAGCCACGGCAGCGCAGTGCCCAGCTGTGGGGGTCTCCCGGTGGGGGCGAGCGTCTGCTGCTGACTCCTCCGTGCGTGCGCCCCGTTTCCAGCTCCAGCACAGCGCCTTGACATCGGTCAAGAGCGACGGGCCTTGCCCGTGCGGCGCTCCCTTCTCTTCCTGTTGCAGCTCCTGCCTAGCTTGCGAGCAGGATCCGTCGCCCCCTTCCCCGCCGCCCCCCCCCCCCCCCCCCCCCCCCCCCGTACCGGCCGCAAAGCAGAAGCAAAGCGGCCATTAGACCTGCCAGCCGGCCAGACCTTCCCGGGGCAAACCCTTCACCCCACCCCCGAGCAATAACAAAGCCCCCGCCAGAGGAGCTGAAGACGGGAGTGGTTGATTGGCTCGTTCATTCTACCTTGCAATCCTCGCCGGCGCTCCGTCCGCAAGGAGCCTGCTGAAGGAACCGGGATCGCCGGTTTAGCATGATTATTGCTGTGTTTTTAGCTCCAGCGGAACTCTCCTCCGTCGTTGAGCATATGCATCTCAGATGCTAACGCTAGTAAAGCAGAGAAGAAGGGCTGCTGCGGGGGCCCAAGGCCGTCCCTAGGCTAGAGCAGCCTGCTGGGTTAGGATAGCGCTGCTCTTGCATAGGATGTTTCCCAGAGAGAAAACCGTCCTCGTGTTTTGAGGCCGCCATCCAAGGACAACCGGGCAAAGGGGGCGGGGCGGGGCGGGGGGCATGTGGAATTGCCAACCTGCCACAGGGCAGGTTAAAATAGTGATTGTAAATCTAACACGGGGGTGGGGGCGTGGACGTGGCGGGAACCCGCGGTAGCAGCTCTTCCTTTGACACAGACGTTTGGAAAAAGTTGGGCAGGCGTCTGGAAGCCTCAGTTCCTACACTACGTGAGGAGTAGTGAAAGGTGGTGATCTGACGTAATTCACTGTTGAGGGGTGGGGGGGTCATGTGGCCCTCCCCCAGGTGTTGTACTCCATCTCCCATCAGCCTTAGCTAAATAGCCAATAATGAGGAATTGTGGAATGTGTGGTTCCCCCAGCATCTGGAGAGCCACACATTCCTCATCCCTTGTATTTATCATCACCAAAGTTCCTCAACTTAAGGAAAATGGCTGCTAGAACTTCCCAATCAGAGTAGTCCGTATTGGTAAGTGGGTTTTCATGGACCAATGGCCTGACTCGGTGTAAGTCGGTTTCTGATGTCACCAATGGCTGATTTGCTGGGCAGTAATCCCTGTTGTCCTTGGCCACGCTGCTAATTAGTTCAAATAGAAGAGATCTGGTACAATGGCTATGTGCAAGCCCATGGATCCAAAAATCTTTCAGACAACTTAGGAAGAACTGTTCTCCTTTTGGCAATGTCTGTAAGATAAGGAAAAGATGTTCACGTTTTGTTCTGGATGGTATTTCCATAGGGCCTTCAACTGTTTGGAGTGTTTCACATTATCCTCTTGGTAGCAATCCCCTTCTACTGGAAGGAGGGAGGGATGTTTGTGCTTCCCCTGTGCCCAGGCCTCCCTAGGGAAATCTGCTTCCTCTCTTTGAGAACCTTCACTCTAACTCAGATCCTGTCCCTTCAGATGGTACTGGACAGTACTGGTAGCTTCATGAATTATCAGGCCAAGTGCTGCTTACGCTCCTCAGTCCTCCTATAGCTTCTCAGAAATGGACTGATCTTCTCTAAGCTCCCTCAACCATGAGAATGTTATATAGCCAATACTGCAGCTAATTAGTGTTTGTCCATGTCTGCTGCACACTTGGTTTTATGTTCTTCGTGGAAAAAGACAGACTCAAGGCTAGTGTTTTGCCCCATTCCCACCAGTGTGGCTTTCTTGAGTCACTGGCCATGTGATTTCCCTGTTCCCCTTTCATTCACCTCTTCTCTACCAGTTCCCTGCTGCCTATGAAATCCCTCGTTCCCTTGGCCTTCTGCCTCATCTAGCCTTCCTTCCCTCAGTACTTTACTTCTGATCTTTTTTTCTACCTACCCCACCTCTCTTCCTTCAGCCAACTTACTTCCTGTCCCTACTGAAGGGCCTCCAAGTGGAGTCAATAGAATAAGTCCCTTAACTCTCATTCTGGCTGGGCCCATTTTCTGCTCTTAATCTGTAGCAATCATCTCCTCACGTTCTTTCCCCCTGCTAGGCCACGGTTTTTCATTTAGCCCAAACTGACTTTTCACTTGCCTCGCAGAAATCACTATTAACAATCTATGGGTCTATGCTTCACTCAAGTGTCTTAAAAAGTTTGTAAGCATCCATTCCATGACATGACAGCAACTCAAATGTGGCTGAGGGCTGGCAGTTAGACTGATAAATCAGAGAGGAAATATAAAATACTATAACTGAAAAGAAGCACAAAATGCGTTGCTTTAAAAACCCCCCACAAACATGATAATGAAGTGAAGCAACTGTGCTCTAGTGCAATTCCTCTTGAGTATGATCTCACTGCCTCTTTGTTTCAGCTTTCTAAATGAGTAGAGTACACATACTTTACCCTGTAGGGAGCTTTAGTAGCTGTCAAAGATCCCATTAAGTCAACATGTTTCTCACACTCAGACCCAGCCCCAGGTTTGGTTTGGTTTGGTTTGGTTTTTTGACATGCAGTGGCAAGAGTGTGTTTATCAGCTTTCACTCTAGCACCTCACTTGGGAACCATAAAATTTGAATAATTTGAAGCAAAAACAGAATATGAATTCTTAGATTTCATCAATGGATTCCAGTGCATTGCATCTTGTTGGGCTCTAGGAGTGTGCTTGCACACTAGAAATAAAGTATAATTAAGAGATAGGAAGGTACTAGGCCACAACCTGGTTCACATGATCAAAACAAGCTGGATCCATCATGACTTGTTTTAATCCCTAGTGCATGCTGTGTGTCATTTCCCTAATTAATTACTTGGACAGACATAATTTGCTAAATCACCTTCCTGGGGGTGGGTCATAGTGCTCAAATGGCATGGCTTATTCAAGAGGAAGCAAACAAATAACCCATGGCTTGTTGTAGGGTTGCTTCCCCTCCCACAAGCCATGTCTCCACCATGTCTTTGTGCCTGCCTTACCTTGCAGGCCGTACTGGGGACCAGGCCGCTGTGCTGGAAAGCAGAACACTTCTGCTGAAGGAGCCCCTCATGTGTTTGCAGTGGGCTGGACCTTGCTTGTTGGATGTGCATTTTCTTGTGATGGAAGAGAGAGCCCACAGAACAAAATATGACCTCATAAACGGGGCAGGCTCTTTTTTTAATTAGGAACATTTTTAGAACCTCAAAAAGTGTTCCAATTTAGCTCTTCAGTGAGTTGGAAAAATGTCAAAATCAGGGCTGATAATGGACATACAGGGCATCAAAATGTGACCAGTCCATGTTTAAGTCAATTTTTTTTTCTTTACTCTCTACCATGTGTATATAAGAGCACTATCAAAAACATAAATGTCATTAGTCAGGTCACACAGTTATGCAAATTTAGACAAATATTAGAGCTAAGACTTTTTAATGTAATAAAGACTTAGAAGGTGTATGACTAGAATTTATTTATTTATTATTCTTGACATTTGTGTGCCACCCTGTACTTCAAGTGGAGTCTCTGGGCAGAATGAAATCACCAGCTATATTGTTTAGCATCAATCAAAAGCATTCTAGTAAAGTTCATTTG